AAAACTGCAAAGGAAAAACATTTTTAGCTTGACTTGACTTCTACAGCTTTCAAAAATCAAGATTGTAGAACTAGTTTTAAATGCCAGATTTTTTTAGCCAATTTCAAGTTATTTCTTTTATAATCAAAATTCTAAACTTAATAATACATTTTATAATAGCCAATAAAAAGGAAACAAATTTTTACCTTTGATTTTACGCCCAAAAAGCAAAGGAAATACTTTTTTTCTATAGCAGATGTTAAACTACTTCTTTATAAACTCTTTTGAGTAGATAAAGTAACACTTTAATAGCAAGGGTTGTTTTTGCTTTATCTGAAACGAGCAAATCTGTTATTAAAACTTCATTATTCTGACGCAGTAGAGAGAAAAGTTAACTTTTTTCTTACTTTTGGACTTGTAATAATAATCTTTCTTTGCTTTTCAAGTCCCATCACATTGGCGATTTTATTTTTCTGTTTTAAATAAGCACATTTTTTTAAATGATGTTTTTTGTCAGCCCTATAACTCGCTTAAAGACCATTTTTGTAGGAAATTTTGTAGGCTTTAATTTTGATAAGCACGCAAAAACCGTTAGGAGTAATAGTTTCCGAGATATAAGCAAAAAAACAAAACAGACACCTTTAGCACCCTCCCAGTCCTCGAGCTCGCCCCCCACCTTCGGGGACTTTTGATATACAGAGTGTTCGGTCCAAGTCGCCCCGGCCGATAACACCTAAACTTACTTTTTTTTTCAAATACTAAATTTTCAAATAATATTATTCATTCCTCGCTTTCTTAGTAAATGCATCAAATTTTTTTGGCACATCCGGTGTGGCCAGAAATGTTACCAAATTTAGTTTTTCAAATGGAACACCTATGTTTTTTTGCTCGAAACAATAATAATTGGTATGAAAAATACGGTAAACCACTATTTATTACATTTTACTTTACATAATGCCCTCAGAAAACAATTTAAATTTTTGAATTTTATTGCAAATTTTGCAACGTAGGCGAATTTTACTTCTCAAGGTATTCATGAAAAAAGCAATATGCTTAATTGTTAGTTTGACAAAGCCTAATTTGTCAATAAATCTTATATCTTTAATAGTGGATGATATTAATTACGACGAATTCGTAGATCAGCTTGAAGTGTTGTAAGTGCAATAAAAATAGAGCGGAAGCTGAAAGACAGTATAGAGAAAAAAACTCAAATAGAGTTTACCCAAATCGTTGGAAATTTAGTCGAATTGAAAAACAACTGAGACGAATAGGTTCGCTTCTTAAAAATAAAAAACCTATGGTTCTTTGTGAAGAACAAGAAAATGGAAATCTGAATGTTCTGTTATCAGTCGAAGAAAATCCAAGAGTTTCAACAATTAAACTGTATCCAAGCATTTTTTTATTCACACCTTTCCTTTAAAATTAAAAATCAGGCTACGCGACCAATTTCCTTATAAAATTCTAAGATTTAAGATGTTTTTTGATTGCATTGTGTTACGCAAAATGTAATAAATAGTGGTTTACAGTATTTTTCATGTCAATTATGATTGTTTGGAGGAAAAAAACATAGGTGTTCCATTTGAAAAACTAAATTTAATACATTTATTAATAAAGCCAAGACTGAATATTATTACTTAAATATTTACTTTTTGAAAAAAGAAGTAAGTTTAGGTGTTATCAGCCGGGGCGACTTGTCTACCCAAGAATAAAGAAAGCGTTTAAAAAAAATCCAACTCTAGGATTTTTTTCCACCGATTTGTTTAATTTGACTGGGCTAACACTGAAACCACCAAATCAAACATTTGTTTTAGAACGAAGTTAACGCGATTAAGTGGGACCCTCAGGGCAATTTCCTCGCTTCTTGTTCGGACGATATGACTTTGAAGATTTGGTCGATGAAACAGGACAATTGTGTCCACGATTTGCAAGCCCACTCGAAGGAGATTTACACGATTAAGTGGTCGCCGACAGGGCCGGGGACGCAAAATCCCAATATGAATTTGATTCTAGCGTCGGCGAGTTTTGATTCGACTGTTCGATTGTGGGATGTGGAAAGGGGCGCTTGCATTCACACGTTGACCAAACACACTGAACCTGTCTATTCGGTGGCTTTTAGCCCCGATGGGAAGTTCCTAGCGAGTGGGAGTTTCGATAAATGCGTTCATATTTGGTCGACACAGTCGGGACAACTGGTGCACAGTTATAAGGGCACAGGGGGGATTTTTGAGGTTTGTTGGAACTCCAGAGGGGATAAAGTCGGGGCGAGTGCTTCAGATGGCAGTGTGTTTGTTTTAGACTTGCGCAAATTGTAGATATTTTTTATATTTTAACTGTTGTTGCAAAAAAAGAGCGACAATATAATTACTAGAAATTAGTTTATTTTATGAAAACCTGTCCATCACATTAATCGGGGAAAAAACTATTCACCAGTGTGAAAATACTTCAATGAGCATAGATTATAACGTATACCGGGTGGGGCATCGGTTACGCGCACTTGATAAATCGCGACTTCAAATTAATTAAAACTGGCGATATTTCATATATCTAACTAATTATTGATAGGGTATAATTTGGGACTTTTTCTAATTTTTTTAGATAATAATGTGTGTTTTATGAATACTTTCTGTTAATTTACCTATAAAGTTTTACACTAAATTAATCTGTACCTGTCAGCTCATCAAACTTTGATATCACAGTTTCAAATTTTGATTTGGTTAGCCAAATAATCGCTTTTTTTTATTTAAACACAAACCAGACCCGTGATTTATGACAAAATGGTATAATTTGCCAACAAAAGAATCATTTACTGGTAGCCGACCACTTTAAAGGGTCTTTTTGTTGTAAACCTTAGAATCTTACCCCAATTGCAGTTCCCCATTGTCACCTAAATTTACAATGGCACAAGTAGCAGGTCACAAATAAAAATGATTTTCAAAGTTAAGATCAAAAATTGCGTTTAATTCAAAATCTAATTGGTTTTTTTTCTGATTTTGTAAAAAATTAGAGTTAAATTTTTTGGGAAAAAATTACTTTTTATTTTCTTTTGGCTTTGTTTGTGAATGAAAAATTACCAAAAAAATTGAGAATGTACCTTACTAATGCCCAGGTAAGTGTAAAAAAATTCAACAGTTTTATTTAATTAGAAGTGGGGATTTTCTTTTTGGGCGTAACGGATGCCCCACCCGGTACATTAAGTTGTGATTATAATAAACAAGCTTGCTCAAATTATAAAATAACAAATACATAAATTTATTTAAGAAATGTATTTAGCAAGTATACAGTATGTTCCCGGATTAGGTTTACAAGAGAAAAAAAATTTTATCTTTGATTTTACGCCAAAATTGCGAAGGAAAAACATCAAGATTGTAGAACTTTTTTTGCCAATTTCTATCAAGTTATTTCTTTTATAATCAAAATTCTAAACTTAATAATACATTGTATAATAGCCAATAAAAAGGAAACAAATTTTTACCTTTGATTTTACGCCCAAAAAGCAAAGGAAATACTTTTTTTCTATAGCAGATGTTAAACTATTTCTTTATAAACTCTTTTGACTAGATAAAGTAACACTTTAACAGCAAAGATTGTTTTTGTTTTATCTGAAACGAGCAAATCTGTAATTAAAACTTTATTATTCTGACTCAGTGGAAAAAAGTTTATTTTTTTTTACTTTTGGACTTGTAATAATAATCTTTCTTTGACAATTAATTAATTGAAATGTTTTTGTTAAAAATGACTGTTTTTTTGATTTGCCATTTATTAAAATTATGTTTTTGTTTACAAACATTTTTGTTATTTAACTTGCGTTAAAGCGACATCATTGTCAAAAAAATAAAACGCCAATGTGATGAGATTTAAAATGCAGAGAAAAGATTAGTTTACACGATTTTTGTACCTTAGCTTGAGGCACTGAGTTCAAAAAAAAAAAACTACTAAAAAAGTTCACCACGTTAAGAAATATGTAATTGACAAAAACACAAAAACCGCCAAAGAACAACAAGAAAAATATTTTTTTAAAAATCCTCTTGAAAATCAGCAATAAAGTTGGACAATTAAAAATGAGTTATTTTACTTTTTTTTATTCTACATTTTTGGATCAGTTTTCTTTATAACGATCTAACAGTAATGTACTAACATATTTTCATCCCAAAAACCTTCGTGTCGATTTTTGTAAACCCTAAATTTTTAAGACCTATTTAGACTCATATGGTAATAATTTTGCAATAATTCAGCAAGAATTTGAATTTAAATAAATTTTAAATTGGAGGCATTTGTGCAGAAAGCAGGAAAATTATCATCTGTAACAAAAAAGAGTGACAATAGAAAAATTTAACAATTATCTTTGTTTAATTAAAAGTAAGTTAACATAAAAATAATAATTGGATTAAAGGTATATTAAACATGTTATTGTTTGTAGACTATAGTATTATTAGTTATTACAAGCTAAAAATCAAGAGAAAAATTAAATTTTCTTTCCACTGAGTGAAAATAATGAACTTTTAAAGTTACTTTCAGGTGAAGCAAAAAATATTTTTTTTGCATTGTTAGCGTAAAATAAAAAATCCGGGGACATACTGTATAACATTAGTTTTTATTATTATTATGGCATTAAATTTACCACTTTGGGTTTTTTGCTTTGTTTAGAAGTAATAAAAATAAATATAAAAAACGGAAGAAACTAGCTATTTGTTAATAAAATTAAAAGTAAATCACAAAAATTTTGTTAAGGTAATGAAATACATAGGCGTGCTTTTTTTTCTATAAAATTTGCTTAGTGTCATTTTGCAAATTATTATAATCACCATTTAATAATCTATACTCATTGAAGAAATTTTCAGAAAATGACCATTTTCAAAAAACGTGTGTCCTCGAGTCCGGATCAACTTCCTAGAATTGACTAAAGAGTTTCATTTTTATTTAGTAAAGTGTCAATCCAGAGTTTTCAAAACATCATGCTACAAAAGACAGTTGGGGAGACTAAGAAAGTGTCAGATGTACTGGATTAAAAAAATCCTAGTTTGTTTTAGACTTGTGTAAATTGTAGATATTTTTTTATATTCTAACAATTGTTGCAAAAAAAGCGACAATATAATAACTACACGTTTTTCAAGTGTAATTCAGAAACCATCACATGCAATTCAGATTAGTCAATTTAGTTTCAGAAAGCATAAATTGGAATTCAGATTAGTCAATTGTATTTCAGAAAGTAATAATTGTAATTCAGAAACCATTACATGTAATTCAAAACAGTAAATAAATTCAATTTTATGTTACATGTAATCCAGAAAATATCAAATGTAATTCAGATCTCAAAATGAAGTTTACACATAAACATGAATTATTTTATTTCCAGAATTAAAGAATTACATAAACTTGACTTTTTACAAAATAAGTAAGATATTTTATTTTCAAAGAAATGTTGGTAATGTAATTTTTAAATGAAAATAACGAATTCTCAATTACAAATGACAATCTCTGAATTATAACTAACACTTTCTGAAATACAATTGACTAATCTGAATTTACGCTTTCTGAAGTTAAATTAATTAATCTGAATTACATCTGATGGTTTCTGAAATTCAGTTTACGGTTCTGAATTACAATTATACTTTCTGAAATACAATCGACTATTCTAAATTACAATTAACGTTTTCTGAAAAATATCTTACGCTTTCTGAATTACACTTGAAAAAGGTGTAGACTTGCAAAAAAACATTTAAAAATTTCTTAAAGAAAAAATGTCAATCAAGACGTTTCAAAACATCGTACTACAAAAGACAGTCGGGGAGACTAAGAAAGTGTCTGATGTTCTGGATTAAAAAATTTCTAGTTTGTTTTGCGTAAATTGTAGATATTTTTTATATTTTTTGTTGCAAAAAAAGAGCGACATTAATTACTAGCAATTAGTTTATTTTATGTCTGTCCATCACATTAATCGCCGTTTATAAGCGTACAAATTATCGTGGTCGTAATAAGCGTGGATTAAGTCATACATGTGTTTAAAAAAGTACAACAAATTGTCGTACTGTCCGTTATAAGCGTTCGAATTATCCCTATACAAAGACTCGCATTCGTTTAGAGCAATTTCGGTGAAACAATTATAAATCCCTTTGTAATTGGGATTAAGTCCCCAACAATGTAAATGTAGTTCGATTAAAAACTGGTGGATTGCCTCAACAGTGGCTAAGTACCATCTGGGACTGCCTTTTTGGTGCCTCCAAAATTGCGAAATCCGATTTTGTATGACCACACAAGGAATTTTCTTTATCCTTTCGTCTTTATAAATCCCCTTGCTTTGGTTCCACGTACTATCAATAAAAATTGCTTTAGTTATGGGGAGCTTATTTGAGTGTTTTACAAAAATGGAGTCGCTCGATTTTAGGACATTTTTCATTAAAGTGGTGCGATTTAACCCCTTTGGTAACTCTTCTAAAGGCGAATTGCTATTTTTTACACAATCGTAGCTTTCCTGCTTCACTAATTGACTAATACTGATGGCGTGTTGGCTGGGAAAGATGAGGACTACGTTTTCACCGGAATAATCCGGGATTTCAGGATATGTGTAAATTGACACGTCATAGGGGGCTAAAACTGCAGCATGTCCCGCAGTGCTTTTACCATCAATTTCATGCCTGTGTTTAATGATGTCGATTTTGATCGGTAACTGAAATAAAAAGTTACTTTTTGAGGGAGGTTATTAGGACTACCTGCACAACAGGGAGCACACCCTCCAATTCAGCAATAGGTACGTAGCAGGAGTAGCAGAAGAATTTCCTCGATTTGTTACATTTGGGGCAAGCGTGGCGTCCACTTATTCTCCCTAAAACTGAATTATCGTCGATTTTGAAACCTTCGAAGGGATTTTGGTCAAGGTAAGCCTGACGGGCCTCGGGGCTCTTTGGGTTTGCCATGAAAATTGGAAATTCTTCATAATTTGAAAAACTAAGTATTTGAGGTTATGTCACACTAACAAGAGATAAAAGATGCTACTTTCTCTCTTTTTTTGTTGCGTTCTCTAGTGGCCACTAAAAAATTTTTAATTTTTCTGCATTTGTTACACCAAAAAGTTGTAATTTGACTATTTAATGTCTTTTATATTTTGCGTTTTTAAACAAATTCGTTTAGGGTAGCAGCATTTTAATGTTGGTGACATCCGAATTAGCGGTGGTACCAATTGACGCAAAATTCCCTAGATTTAATTTTTTCTTTAAAAACAGCTTAAAAGGCACAATAAGGAAGAACAAATAGTGTAACTAAAAGAAACATTACATAAATTACATTCCAGCAATTGTATTTTAGTTTACTAATTTTCAAAGTAAATAAACTAGTCCGTAAAGAAGTACTTTTACGGAGTCATATGTCATTATTTATAAATACAGTTTTACATTTTGTTTTTGTGATTTTTTGGCGCATTTTGTAAAATAAACAAAGTAAATCAAGCGAAACAAGGTAAAACAATATTATTTTTGGTCTATTTGGTAATTTTTCAGACAGTTTTGAAGAAACTTGATTTTATTTCAAAAAAGTATTCAAACACCCGAAAAAGCAAAAATAACTCCAACTTTGGCATTTTGGCAAGTTTAAAGAAATAATTCGGTTGTGACTGAAAAACTTATTATAAAATGCTCAGAAAAAAAAACAAAGTTGTGTAATCTCACAAAAAATTGAAAATTTAGTTTAAAAACGTGCTTAAAGGCTAAAATAACAGCATTTTCGACCAAATAATTTGTTTTTAAACATTTTTTTTTGAGAAGTTTTTAAAAAAATGCAAGAAATTGTGCTATTTATTGTGACAATAACTGAAAAATCGAATTTTGTTTCTTGATGAAATAAAAAAGTTAATTCTACTGAATGTGTACTCGTGTATCGAAGTAGCCGTTGAAAGGAATCATTTTAAGGTGGCAACCATGCAAAAATTTAAAGACTCCTTACCTCAATCTTTTCTCTTATTTTTTCAAATAAATGTGTAGCAAAAAATAATTAAAATTAACAACGTGATTAACATAAAGATTTTTGTCATTATTGATGTTATTAAATTTGCTCTGAATGACATTAATGACAGTTTTCGTGTGAATCAGCCTTTAAGTTAACCTACTTGATGCACATTAATATAAAAAAGAGTATAGTTTCATTTTGTTTCAATAATATTTTTTTCTGTATTGTTAGTTGCATAGCAGTACAATTTTTTATATAATTGAAAAAATTGCAAAATCAGAAAAAACGCACTATAAAGTGATGAAAAAAAACAAAGTTGTGTAATCTCACAAAAAATTGAAAATTTAGTTTAAAAACTTGCTTAAAATAACAGCATTTTCGAGCAAATAATACATTTTTAAACATTTTTTTGAGAAATTATTTGAAATATGTAATTGAATTTCTGTCTGAAAAACGTGAAATTGCTTAAAAAATGTAAGAAGTAATGTCATTTTTGACTATTTATTGTGACAATAACTGAAAAATCGAATTTTGTATCTTGACGAAATAAAAAAAGTTAATTCTACTGAATGTAGTCGTTGAAAGGAATCATTTTAAGGTGGCAACCAGGAAAAAATTCAAACACTCAACCTCAATCTTTTCCACTAAAATTATTTTTTCAAATAAATGTGTATCAAAAAATAATTAAAATTAACAATGTAATTAACATAAAGATTTTTGTCATTATTGATGTGATTAAATTTGTTCTGAATGACATTAATGACACTTTTCGTGTGAATCAGTCTTTAAGTTAAAGATGCATTTAGACTTAATAATTGTTTCTGTATTGTAGCAGTTGAAATTTTTATATAATTGAAAAAATTGCAAAATAAGAAAAAATGCACTATAAAGTGATGAAAAAAAAAACAAAGTTGTGTAATCTCACAAAAAATTGAAAATTTAGTTTAAAAACTTGCTTAAAATAACAGCATTTTCGAGCAAATAATACATTTTAAACATTTTTTTGAGAAATTGTTTTAAATATGTATGTACTTGAATTTCTGTCTGAAAAACGTGAAAGTGCAAGAAATAGTCTCATTTTTGACTATTTCTTGTGGCAATAACTGAAAAATCGAATTTTGTTTTTTGACGAAATAAAAAAAGTTAATTCTACTTGAAAGAAATCATTTTAAAGTGGCAACCATGCAAGAATTCATACACTCCTAACCTCAATCTTTTCCACAAAAATTATTTTTTCAAATAAATGTGTATCAAAAAATAATTAAAATTAACAATGTAATTAACATAAAATTTTTTGTCACTATTGATGTGATTAAATTTGTTCTGAATGACATTTCGTGTGAATCAGCCTTTAAGTTAAAGATGCATTTAGACTTCTACAACCTACTTGATGCCTATAGTTTCAGTTTGTTTCAATAATAATTGTTTCTGTATTGAAAAAAGTGCAAAATCAGAAAAAACGCACTATAAAGTGATGTTTGTAATAAAAAAGAACAGCTTTATCAAACGCCCAAATGGCTTTAAAATTTCCTGAAAATGCCTGAAAGTGTTCTTCTTGAGTTTAATTAATTAAATAATATATTGGTCTAAATTAAATTAAATTTTCTAAATTCAAGTATTGCTTTTAAATTTCCAAAGCTCCATCTTGCATCTAATTTTAATTTAACTTTAAACCTAGTAGTTTGAGTCACAATCGTTTGATGGGGCAAATATGCAAAACTGCTGAATTATTGCAGTTTTTTCAAGATTAAAAAAATCACACTCCTGAAAAATTTGTAAAATGGAGTAAATGAATTTTCGGCGATGCGGCGCCAATTTCAGCAATCAAAACTCATCCAAGGGAAAGTTTAAAGAGGTTTGACCTTTGGTGGAGTTCAAGGGGCCATATGCCAATAAATTATGACGGCCAAGTGTCAATGTTGAGATTTTTAAGAAAACTGAAAAGCCCCATTGACCTCAAAATGGCATGATGGTAAAATTTCGTTGGGATTGACAAAAATAGCGCAAAAATGCAGTTTTTGATTGAAATCAATCAGTGGAAACGGTGTGTCAGGTGAGCAAAACGCGGTTCTAACTGTGGTAACTGACACGGTAGCTACATTAAGACATATTTAGCCATCATCAAGCAACCACAGTAACTTAGTAGAGCGTGCAATGAAAAGAGAAAGCAATCATTATTGTAAGTATGTTCATACAGACATCTTGTGCAGTGGACACGAACTTGGCCAATTTTCATCCACACGCAAAAAATGATGGCCATTAGATTCAATTCAACAAAGATCGAAGCGCTCCACTTATTTGACATTTATTCAAAAATAATTAAATTAATTTGAAGTTCGTCGAGTAAAGCGATTAAAACATTAATTTCCTTTTTTATCAAACACTTTCTAATGGCTGAAATCGCGACGCAGGAAGTGCATTCGATGATAGATGAAGCGACGAACGCTCACACGCAATAACATGGAAACTTTGTTTTTTCTTTAAATGGAAATTACCAAGTCAAAATTTTGGTGAAAAAATTGTCTTTGTTTTTGTCCCTAAAATTTTTGTTAAAAAATTATAGTTATCTTTTTAAATTATCTAAATTTTGACTTTTATGAATCTTGGGTGCTCTTTGAAAGCGCTATAATGAAATACCTGAGGACAGACATCATTACCTAAGGTCTAAAGACAGAATTTAGTGCTAATAATTTTGATAGAAACACATCAAAGTAAGTACAATGTTGTGGACAAAAATGAATTTCTTGCTACAAAAACTTTGAAGAAAAAGGATGTATATACAGAAACAAGTTATTTAGCAAAAGATACAAAAAGGTATTATGATGATTGGCAATAAATTTTGTGTAATTGATTGAAATGAGCTCAAAGTTGATGCATTTTATAACTTCTTCCTTAGCTTTAGTTTCAAAATTGTTACTTTTTCAACTCCTTTCTCAAAAACGATGCACAAGACACTAATTTAATTGCATTCTTTCCGAGGTTCTTTCTCATTCATGTTTGTTTTGTATTCTTGGCAATTTTTTGCTAAAAATCGATTTTAATACAGAATTAATTCAAAACTAATCTATTTTTTTAGTATAATTGCTTCAATCTTAATTTTAGGCTGATATAAAGCAATTTGTGATATTTTCAATCGATTTGGCTCAATTT